TGCTGAAAGTTTTCCTTAAAAATAATGAGTTAAATAATTTGTTCACTTAAATGTAAATAATTTCACTTTCCTCCTTCCATAGAACAAATTATCCTCACGGAATCTGTCAATGTCATTCATCACCTGTCAAGTGAGGCAAAAGTTTATGACCGGCTTTGTTTTATTTTCATCTTTTCAGCACAGAAGCTAAGTTAAGCTTGGTTCAAAATATTTTAAATAAACATAATTTCTGATTTTCTTAAAATAAGTTTTGAAAAAATAGATATTTAAAAGAATTTCAAAGTGAAATTTTCTTATATATATATATATATATATATATATATATAAAATGGGGAAAAAATGGTTGTCATCTGTCAATTTTGCTGACTCAAAAAAACAAAAACAAGATTTTTTACGAAAATTTTGGGAGTGCTAGGAACGATTAAAAAATGTAAAAAAAAAAAAAATACCCCCAAAAATACTTTGATCTTTCCTCTTAATAACATAAACATTTAGACAATAAAATTTTGTTTTTGTCAAGTTTGACGTCTTTTTATCATGCTATGCTCTTTTTTTTTAGCGATCTCATGGCGGTACCTACTAATTATGAATCACCACAAGCAAAACATGCAATATTTTGCTGTATTTGATAAGTGCTGTGTAAAAATTGTAAAAGATTACAAAAAGTGATAAGATCTTAGACCACTTCTTAAGTCATAATTAATAAAAATAGATAAGTGAATGTTAATAGCATCTTACTGGGCACAAATTAGATGAAATGTCTTAAATTTAAATTTGAATTAAATCTACTGCACTGTATAGCATACTATATTATAATATAGCTAGATTGTTCAGTATAATTTCCCATTATTTGATGGAACAATGATTTAGTAATGATTTGCATGTGCCTTTCTTGTTCATATACAATTTGTGATAGTTTAGCTACTCTTTTCAAATGTGCAGGTAAATTTGACAATTCCAATGTTGCTCAATTCAGAATCTTTGAAAAAAACCTCCATTTCACGGGAGGCTCACAACCTCATCATGCTTGATTTAGGGTTAATTTTCCAAGAAACTTCTGCATATTCTAATAGCAGTGTCTTGTCACCACTTACATCTTACTGCAGAGTCAATGAAAAAAGTTCTCTAGGGGCCCATTGATAGTTAAAATCAAAATTTTGACAAAACTTTTTCAATCTTGTCCTTTTTTTATCATGCTATGCTTTTTTTATGATTTTGTAGAGAACCCTATTTAGAAATCTTTCATTTTCTATAACATACTAGATGCTGCTAGAGATTCTATCCAAAAACATAAAGCTAAAAATAAATGCATTTTAAATGTTTTATTTGAAGTTAAATGATAATCTAAAGTTAATCCCTAGACAAATTGTTTTATATATACACGTTACTTTGAAGATGTAATTTTGCAGCTAACTTTAAATGGGTTGCATCATACTTGAGATGTAAAATTAGTGTATGTACTGCTGGCCCTGACTACTATAAACTACATATTCATTTACTGTAGTCAAATTAGGTTTTCAAGGGTAGCATGATATGCATGTATATACAATACGTTTAAAACAAAATGTTGAAGCAATCTCACTTTTGTCTAGTTTGATTAGCTAATTTGATGGATACCTACAAACAAAATTTTTTTAAGTTCTTAAAAAAAAAAAAACACAGATCTGGTATCTGTTCCAGTCATGTTTCAAATGTAAATTTATGGACAATTTGATTGTGTGTAAATGTTTTTTACATTTTGCTTGAAATGTAATTATGCCCTTGATGGTCACCATATTCAATATTTGTTTCTAATCCCCCAAAATTGACAACCTGAATAAAATATGGAAGATATTACAACCAAGAAATTAGTTTCTTTAGGCAAAGAAAAATCATTTACAAATGTTTAAATCTTAGGAAACTTTGAACAATTTTTAATTTCTTACGCAATCAAAAGTAGGTATCCCCCTAAAAACTGATATCTAATGCATTTTATAAATGAAAAAAATAAGAAATTCTTGTAGCTTTTATTTTAGTCTTAATTCCAGGCTATTAGATAAAATTTAATATTTCCAATAAGCAAAGTAATTTGCTGTATTTCAAAATAGATTTAGATTTTTTTCTTTTCTTTTTTTTAATCCCTAAAATCAGCTATATTGACAGATCTGTCAACACAACATAATTTACTTTATTAAATCTTTTAAAAAAAAAAAAATAGCCATGACATAGAAAAAGTACTTCTACAAAACTTACAAATAAAAACCTATCAATGTAAAATTTCTTTTAATGCTGAAAATTTCTGTATTATCAGATAATTTCATTGAAACTTTTTGTTATATAAATTTTTAAAAACTGAGGTGGGTGCTTTTTTTCTCTCTCTAGTACACATTATTTTGTAGGTAACTGTAATGTGCTCTTCATACAAGATTATGATAATGTCATTGAACCTACATTACAAGCTAATATATGGTTTAGTGTTAATTTAGCATATCTTATTTTTAATATCAAAATTAATAATAAAAAAAATTCACTTGAGCATGTAAATTAAAAACTTTGTATGCTTCAAATTTTAATAGTTTTTGTATAATTGTACTTTATATTGTTTTACATTTTACTGATTTTTGCTCTTGTCACTTGGCTCAAAAAAACAAATTGATTGTTATTGAAGTTTCCTTTTTGTATTTTTATTAGAATTGCTTAGTCAGTCCTAATACACTTTATATTTGAAGATAAGCCACCACTTCTATATTAACTTTGAATCTCTTAATCTGTAGGATTGTGCTTGTTTGTATATACCTCATTGTTTTTCTACCTAAGATTAGTGTAGTATTTGTTCAATACCTAGCCCATTTGAGTAAGACCCCCCTAAAAAAAATATGAAAAAACATGGAACTAATTTTTAAAAAAAGTTAGTGAGAGCAAAAGGTGTGGATGAAAAAAATAGAAAGCTAGATAGATATATAGATAGATAGATATATATATATATATATATATATATATATATATATAATCAGATTTCCTACTTTTTTTTTTTTTTTTTTTTTTGCAGGTAGTTTTTCTTATTGTCTTGCACACTTTTTTTTTTTTACATTCAGAATGCTTTAAAAATTCCATTTACAAGACAATTGTTTATAATAAAATTCTATTCAATCGGTAGACTCCAAACAATTGAAAACAATGTTTGGATTTGACCAATTCGTAAAAAAAAAAAAAAAAAAAAAACTAATTAAGACCTGCGTGTCTGTCAACCTTAAACAATGATCTTTGTCAATTTTATTTTTCTGTCTTTATGATGGTCAATACTTGATCTATTTCTTACTGTTACATCCCTGGGCAACGCCGGGCTCTATTGCTAGTGTGTACATATACATATATATACACACACACACACACAATGTGAGAGGCATAGTGTTGTAGCCTCTGTTATCAGACTCCACCTGGGGTTTTGGAGATAGGCCCTGATAAAACATGTATTCTGAAACCACATTACCCAGGGTACTTGGATAAATGTATTTCATCATGAACAAAGAGGTCCCTGGGGTGCACAAATCCCCAACTGAAATGTTTCTTTTTTATTTAAATTTGAGCAAGGGAATGACTCCTATCCAGAATATAGGAGACAGCCAGAATATGGAGGTCACATTGGCAAGATCAAAATTAGACCATGTGGATGTCAAGATGAGTACAAAATAACAAATCAGTAGGTCGTGTCTGCAAAGTCAAATGAGTTTGTCATATGATTTCAATTTATGAAACTTACAAAATTAAAATTAACTGAGTGGTTCAGCAGTCTACTTGTGTTACTTTATCATTAGCTGGTCAAAGGCTAATTAAAAATAGGCACATTAACACTGCAGAATACCTTCAGAAAATGAAAATATCGTCATTATGTCAAAGGTTTTGTGATAGAAAATGAATCTAGTGTCAGCAGAATGAGAAACTGATTAGGAAGTGAATTGGCAATGTTGTTGATTACTAGCACACATTTTAAATCTGCTGGCTTATAAGTTTCTTGTGTGGAAGAATATATGGATTATGTAAGAAAATAATTTAATGCCAATCATTAGGCCTCAACAATGTATCACCAAGGTGGTCAACATCTACTCCAGAATACTTGATGGAAAGCCATGTGAGACAATATAAAGATTGATTTTTTTTTTTTTTTTTCACACATTTTAGTGGCCAAGTATTATTGGATGGAAATGCTCTAGAATGAATATGAAAATTCTTTACTATTATAAAACTAAAAAAAACATGAACATTTTAAAGTTTTCCTATTTTACTTTTTTGGTGAATCTAATTGATTCAATCATGGAGTTCTGCAAAAAAATAAAATATCTGTAGAGATTCCCCTGTCACATTGGTAAATATTTGAGCTTAACAACTTCAACTAAATATTGCAATAACAATCATAATATAAATGCTGGTGGTTATTTAAAGAAGTAAAAAGTGGAAATGAAAAGATTTGAAATTGACAACTTATCCATGTCACTGAAACAGACATAAACATTTGTCTTCACCTCTATCTTCCCTTTCTTTCATGTTTTCATTTAAACCAAGTAGTCTCTCTGTCTTTTTCCATCCCACGCCATTAAGTCCATTTCTTAAGAGGTATTGACAAGGTGTAACATGTTAAGTAAAGAACGAAGAAAGCAAAATTTAGATGATATTTTCATTCAATTTCAGCATTAGGTTAGCCTGTTGAGTTTGATCAGTGTATGTATTTTTGTTAATTTATTAATGATTTTCTTAATGCTGACAAGCTGTGCATGTCTATAATTTATCACATCCATAAGTGTGTGTGGCTACTTATGATTTGACTTAAGTTTTATCACTTTTGTCAGTGCTGTATTTCTAACTGCAGTTAGAAATACAGCCAAATTTTAAAAAGTATAAACAGATTGAATGAGCTAGAGAGTACCTCTTCAGTATTGGGCAATTTTCAAGCCCTTCTACTTTGAAATTGACAATATAAGCTGGTGTAATTTTTTATTTTAATTTTTTAATTATTTCAATTCTAGGAATCCTCCAGTTTTATGGGCTCAGAGAAAAGACAAATTGTTTATCACTATCCGAGTAGAGGATTGCTATGACCCAAACATAGATCTTCAAGAATCTAAGCTGATCTTTAAGTAAGTACTTAATTTTAGTTTGTATTTTTGTTTTGTCTTTGTGAGCACAATTGTTAATTCTCATTCAAGAACATGCTTATTTTCAACATGTATGGACTTTCATCAATATATTATGTAATACATAGTCTCAAAATGGATCCAGTAGTATGATTTACTAAAGCACTCTCAAAATTTATGTATTTACAAAAAACCCTTTTTATTCTTTAAAATGGTTTTTCAAAGTATCCAATTTCTTATTGTAAATAAATACATGATCCTGGCTGTAAATTTTCTTTAGCCTCTATAAAATTTTGCTTGAGATAACTGACATTAAAATAATTTTTAACAGTTACTCTCTCTCTCTCTTCCATATGTTCTCAGAATTTTAAATTTTATTAAGGAATTGATCCTCTCCACTTGAAGACCTATGTGGCACCTACTGTTTATAAAATTATAATTTTGTATTGTATGTATAGATTTTAATTTTTGTACACTAATAAAAGAATCAGTAATATTTTGATGCAATGTATTATGTAAATTGCATGTATATTTTGTCGATGAAAAAAGTTAAAACACAAAATGAAAAACAAATACATTAAAAATACATAATTCACTGTACTTTAACTTTTATTACTCCTTGTGGAGATCTGGTGGTGCGATAAGCAAAATCACTAAAAGGGCTTTCATTTCATCAAAAAAGTGATATTTCCTAGTGTTTACATACAAGACACTAGCATTTGTTTGCTCTTTCTTTCACTGGACTTGTATTTGTCTTGTTGACAAATAGTTATTTTGTCATTTATAAATAGACAAAATAATTCACTTTCAGAAAGACCATCAGATATATCAATGATTGCCAGTAGCATCCATAAAATTACTCTGGCATGGATGATAGCAGCCACTAGTGGTCATCATCGCTTTTCCCCATGTTATTAGCATGGTTAGTAAAGCCTTCAAAATGATCATTGGAGTGTTAATCAAAGAAAAACTCCTGAATAAAGACTTTGTTGGATATTGACGTGGCCATTTTTGTTTACAAAATATCGCAAAAAAATTAACATGGATTTAACTGATGTTACACCTCATGTAGTCTAAAAGAATTCAAAATGGCATTGAAAAAAGAAGTTTAGCTTTGTTCCAAAGCAGTAGTAGGTGATTTTCGGCTTAAAATACTGAAAATGACAAGTGTTTGTTTATAGCAACTGTCTTGGGTAACAAGTTGCTTATAGTAGTAAGGGAGAGATTTATTTTTTTTTTTCCCCTCTTAAAAAAAGATAAATAAAACTAAGGGATGATAAAAGATTCTAGGCTAAGTCATAATAGCTGTCTCAAAAAATCTGATTTTTTTTTTTTTTTTTTTTTTTTTTTTTTTTTGAACTGGGTCTTAAGAACTTTCTAGGGGCTCCTTGAACCAGTTTTATTTGTATATGTTATTTTTGTAATGCCTGGTTGTAGCAGTGACTTTGTAAATCACAGATAACAATAATAGTAATGCCTTCAAACAATCATGTGTCAGACACCTCTAATTCCCTTTACCCATCACGTGATCTAATTATTTCAAGATGAGATTGTCTGTACTTGCTCTCTGGCGATTCGTGTTCAAACCCAAATGTCGGCAGCAGCACTTTATACCTGTATGACACCTCCCCTTCAAGATGACTTCTTCTGGAGTCTATATTTCTTCAGCTTTGGTTCAATATTTAGATATTCTGTTGCTCTTTTTTTTTTTTCTCTCTCTCTCACCATACAACCTTGGTTCAACAATTTCTGATGTGAGTACATCAAATGTGTCATACAAAATTTCCATAGGTACTTCTTTCTGGAGACTTTAAATCAGTGAATCTGATGAGGGGGAGTTGTAATGTTTTATCGCTAATGATTTACAAAAAACCTTAAATTCACTAGACGTGAACTGTCCTCTTGTTTGAAGCGAACCTGGCAGAAATTTCATGTAGGGAATTTATCGTTACAGTGGTAGTCGTCTTCTACATTTTAATATTTCTGACCGTTAAGTGTAACTATCGACTACCACGAGATAGTATGCTCCATTTAATGGTCCTACAAAGCCTGTATGTATTCTGGACCATAGCATATCGTTTTTCGGCCAAGGTTGAATTTTGATAGGCGGTGAATTTGCTAGAGCATGACCGCTACATGGTTTCACTAAATTTTCAATATCTTGATCCATTTTTAGCCAATAAGTATAAAACTTCATTAAGGATTTCATTCTAGAAATTCCTGGATATCTTATGTGAAATTCTTTTAGCGTACTTTTTTACAACAATGCTGGTATCAATTCTTTCTGCATACATAAGTACATTATCGCATAATGAAACTGCATTATTTTCAGTAATATTTTTTTCTTTAAATCTTAATTGCTTCTTCATTTTCATTATAAAGTCATCTTTTTCTGACTTAATTCTTATTTCCTCCAATCCTGCAGGAAGTTCTCTTACACTATTGTATAATACATTATTAATTTCATTTTCGGCCCTTATTGCCGCAGTTACTTTGTCCTCAAAGTTGTTTGCAGAATTTTGGTCTTAGTCTCAATAATCTGACAGGTTCAATTTAGAAATAATTTACCATTTAATTTGGCAAAAATTCCTCTGGACTGGTAGTTATATTGTTTTAGATTTTCATTTAACCCAGTTGAAAAATCAGCACATGGATTTTTTTTTTTTTTTTTTTTTACGTAAACAGTTGGTGCCCATTTGGAATAGTCTATTTTTGAGATCACACCTAATTTTTCTAATCTGTTCTGTTTAATTCCTTATTAATTGGCTGCAAAAGTACACTCCCTTTTACTACATTCTCTTTTAGTTCAAATTTAGCTTTAGTTTTTGTGCATGACCCTAGACCTGAGAAAACTTCTGGAAAACTTTTTCAATTCATTCTTTAATTTTTCAGTTGCTGTATTAGCATTTTTTATTTTTGTATTTTTATTTTGTTGCAAATATAGTTAATTGGAAGGTTTGAAAGGTCAAATAATGCAATCCAGTCTGTTCCAAATAAATTAGCAGTATTCTTTATTAGAAACACCACCGCTTTCTTGGTTTTTCCAACAAAAACCGTTACAGCTGAATTCACCCCAAAAGTCCAATCACTTTCCTGAAACACCATGCGCAACTTTATTAGAAGTCAAGCTGGGTTTACCCATTTTTCTCCATGTCTGTTTATTTATGATAGTGATATCAGATTCTGTATCCAGTTGTAATTTTATTAATTTCCACAAAAACAAATTTCCTCTTGATATATTTCTAATTCGGTTAAAGACACGTTCAAAGTTTAAAGTCTCCTGTTATGCTTACCTGTACTCTGTGCATTTATCAGGTTCACAGTTTTCTCTTCCCTCCCCCACATTTTTTTTTATTATATATGCATCAAGTACTTTTGTATCCTACCCACACACATTTGTAGCTTTTTTTTTTTTTTTTTATTTTTTTTTTTCTTGTTCTTTAAAAAAAAAAAAAAAAACCACTAATTTCTCTTTTCCGTCTGTCTGTCTCCATCCTTCTTTTTCTTTCTATTTTTATGTCTAGCCTTTTCTCATAGGTTGTCAGACACTAGTTGTGAAATGTCTTTCCTCAATCCTTGTGGTGTCGAGTTGTAGATTTTTGCAGTACATTGACACTCTTCCACTGTTTTCTGGAGAGTTAGTTTGGGGTCCATTTCTAATTTAGCAAGTAGCCTGGATCTTATTTCTGTTTCCTCGTTAGAAGTTAACCACTGTAAAAAAAAAAAAATAGGCATCTAAATAAATCCTGTGTTTAATTTTTCATGTTCTCAATTCATGACTCCTGCATAAGTTTCAAAACCTTCATCGCACTTTACTAAGACCATGCCATTGTGTAGTATTAAATAATGAGCTCCAGTCACCAAAACTTTTGATAGTATTTCAACAGTTTCATCAAAATTTATCTCCCCTGTCTATATTTTTTTTTTCATTCTTCTTTTTCCCATGTTCAGCAATGGACAATTTCCTTAATAATAGCCACTTTTTTTTCATCATTCCAACATGAACAATCGTTTTTTGTAGGTCCCTTTGTATCTTCTATAATAAGCTGTAAAAGTTATCCCTTCATCTAGTTTGCATACAAATTCGCTGATACGTATAGTTTTTCTCGCCTTGTCACCACTTTTGTGATGCCTAGTTGTAGGAGAGGCTTTGTAAATCACAGATACAATAATAGTAACGCCTTTGAGCAATTCTCAGTCAGACAGTGCTAATTCTTATATATATATATACTTTCTTTACCCATCACATGATCTGAGGTCCAAAGTTCATTGCCTGTTACCTATTGATTAATGCTATCAACATGAAAGAACATGTAAGGATTAAAACCTTATTAAAACTATAACAATCATTTATTTCTATATATGATTACATTGGATATTTTTGTATTAAGAAACAATCATTCTTACTGAATTCTTTTGTTCCAGGGGCACAGGTGGTGCAGAAAAAAATTTATATGAAGTAACAATTCCTTTCTGCGAAGCTGTCATTCCACAGGTTAGTTGATATTTGGATTACCGAGTTAATCCATGTTCTTTGTTTAACTTCAGTTTTTGGGTGTGGGTAGCCTTTCTGAAGCATAAAATTTCTCCTTTTACTTGGTCATTGCAGTAATAAAATGTTCTTTGCATAGTTTATTGTGCATTGCTACTAATATTAGGATGAAGAAAAATAGGTTAAAAAAAAAAAAAAATTGAATAAAAAAGATCACCAGTATAGTTTTAGGTATGAATTAAAACTGCTTCCTTTCAAATGTTAGGCAGCTATCTCTTAACTAAATCTCCAACCTATCTGCTGGTTGGGTTATGCTTAAAAATTGGCTAATTTGAAGTTTATATGTCAACTTTTTTCTTTTCCTAAAAATCAAAAGAAAAATTTAAGTTCAAATAGGAATTTATGTTGCTGGGACCCTAATGGCTGGTTTGTCAGCATTATTTTATTGAAAAAATATTGGCTCACATCAATGTAATCATATCACTAGATGGATTTTTCAAAGATGTTTTCACTAACTTGGCAAATTTGTGACCATAATGATTTGAGATCTGATATATGATAAAAATATATTTAAATATATAAACTGTTGTTCTGTGATTAACTTACAATTCTCTCTTACATAAAGAGGGTTGTAACCATAACCATTGCAATAAAGTAAATTCAAATATAAACTGTCTACATATTTTTAGGAGACAAAAAAATCCCTTGGTGCCAGAGAACTTTATTTCGTGATAAAGAAAAAGGAAGAAGCATGGTGGCCAAGATTGTTAAAAGAAAAAGTCAAGGTAAGACTCTTGCATGAATAATCTTCTGTTTGGCTTCAAATAAGATTTGTAAACAGAAGCACTGTGGTACGGGTTTTATAAATACCTATTGTATATAGTTTCATTATAAACAAACACATTCAGTCTCCTTATTCAGCTACATGTATTTAATAAATACTACCACAAATTGATTTTTCAATGATGACTACACTGGTAAAGTGCCCACTAGTACTAGTGATATGTGGGACCTTTGACATGTATCTTAGAAGAATCTGTTGTAGAGATGTAAAAGTTCTGAAAGGAAAGCTAAAAAATGTTTACATGAAATTCAAATTAATATTAAAATTATATATAATCAATTGTGAGTTCTTTCTCTCTTTGAAAGAGGGATGAAATACAAAATCTCTGGATTGGTACTAATCATCCTCACAGGTGTCATGAATATTCAGAAAGAGGTTCCATTTATCATATTTGGTAAGCACATGACTGAAAATTTTGTGATTAAATTTTTTTTAGCTGTTTAGATTATTTCTGAAATAATATGGGGTGTTATTCTGTTTTTGCTGGTCAACTATTGACAGATGGACAAAGAAAAATAAATTCTAAGTATTTTAAAACTCAAACCTTGAATACAGTTAGGATACCAATTAAATAGGTACTTATTTTCTTTTTCAATCAGACGCATTGGTTGAAAACAGATTTCAGTAAATGGAAAGATGAAGATGATTCTGATCCTGATGATGGTGCTGACGACTTCAGCCTTAATGAAGTAAGTTACATTTTTCGTATTGCTTTATTTTTTCTTCCACAATTCTCGGTGGCACTGGGTTTTTTTTGTTCTCTCTCTCTATATATATATATATATATATATATATATATATATATATATATATATATATATATATATCTGTTCAAGTTTCTAGTCTGGAATGTTTGAATTGGAAGGAAGAACTGAAACAATGGGTAAAAAAAAAGTTGGTGCAGGTTTTGTATTGAACCTTTTGTCAAAGGTTTACTATTAGAAGTTTCTTTTGATATTGTCATTGGTTAAAACAAGTCTCCATATAAAATTGATATTTAGACTGTTTTGTAAAAGTTTGGAGACCTCCTCCTCCCTCTCATTTAAAAATGTTACACGTTTATTTGTGTGTGCATAATAAAAGGAAAATCCAAATTGGGGAGTTAGTGTTAGGAAGGGTAAAACTCTTTTTTACCACTTTGTCTTCATTAGGAGCTTTATGAAAACACTTTGATTGGCACTTTAAATGTGTTGCTTACCTGTCAATGTTTGAGTGAATGTCATGAGCTTCACTTATTAAAAGCAGGATTTTCCCAAAGTACTTAGATTTTGGCTATATCTCTAAAATGAGATATTGGAGTCTTTGTCACCACAAGACTAATGTTGCGACATTAAAAAATGTTTGTTTATAATTGACACAACTTTGTTTTTCAGATGATGAATAAAATGGGTGGAGTTGGAGAGGACGCTGATGAGGTAAATTATGATTGCTATCTCCCTTCCCTTTTGGTTAATTTTGGCACATTTTGCTTATTGTTGGTTTCTATTTTTCCATTTAACAAGAGTATTATACATGTTCTTATTTTGTTTTTGCAGGCATAACTTATTTTTATTTATTCTTTTATTTTTTTCAGAATGAGGAAGACAGTGATGATGAAAGTGAGTAGTAGTTCTACTTCTTTTTTATTAGTCAACTATGATTATTTAATTTTCTAAGACCTCCACTTTAGTCACATCTATGGAGCAGCTGCCTTGTGTGTGTGTGTGTGTGTGTGTGTGTGTGTATATATATACACACACACACACATATATATATATATATATATATATATATATATATATATATATATATATATATATATAGTGAACTCTCCTGTCATATTCAAGGGTCAAGCAGCTCAGTTCCTAGGACAGCGGACACAAGTACATATGATTTGATTATAGTGGTGATGGCTCACCCTTTTTGGTGGGCTGAATACAGAGACCTTGTGCACTATGTGCAACAAGGTCCCCAAACAACCCTCTGCCGGTTTTGAATTCAGAGTTGTCCTTCTAGTCTAGTTGCAATCCAAGGCTATAGAACCTAGTCTGAACTGGAGAGAGAAGAGGATAATACCTTTTACAAAACAGTGTAAGTGAATGTAATGGATTTGACTGGAATTCACTCTGCTTTCTGATTCCTCAACCTGATCCACTAATCTCCTAGTCCACTGTGCCTCTCTCTATTTTAATTTTTTAATTGTTCAAAAATATATATATATATATATATATATATGATATTTTAGTAAAAGCTAAATGAATTTGTGGGTTAATCTCTAATAAAAAACTAAAAACTCAAAAACCTATTTTTATCAATACGATTAATTTTATAGCTGACTATTAAAAAGAATCTTTTCTACTGGATTCGCATCCCTATTATTTATCTAATTTTCAGGCTATTTTCTAGTAAGTAGGTTTGGCTGTAAATTAGCTTTCTTGCCCTAAGATACAAAATAGAACAAAATTTGTTTGAACTAATCATGCCATGTCATTTTTGCTTTGATGCTTTAAACAAAAGCTGGAAATAAATTTGCACTTTTTTTTTTTTTTTTTTTCTTCTTCTTCTTACTCATTTTTCAGGTCTTCCTGACTTAGAAGACTAAGCTTAGCATGCTGTATGTCCAAGAGCTGACCAGGGGGGATGGTGTTGTCCAGCTTCTGTTTGCTGTTGCTGTTGCAACAGAAGCATCAATAGCTATGACAGTAAGCCATGGGAGAAGCTGAAACCAGTTGACCATCTGTTTTGCTCCCATCTTCATCTCATATTTTTTTTCCTTTTCCCTTTCCTCTCCCTCTCTTTCCCACATTCCTTTTCCACTTTGCTCTCTCTTCTCTCTCCCCCTTTCTGCTCCTTTCCTCCCAACTCTTGTCTCCTCTTTATCTACAATTATCAAAGAAATTATCATTCCTTGATGTCCAAATTTTTCCCAACTTAACTTTTGTTGCCAGTCAAGTAGTCTAACATATAGAGTGTGTACCTCTATGTTGTACTCTGGTTCTACGTTTTGGCATTACCACCTCGCATCTTCCATAATTATGGTAGGAGGTGAGCCAGGTGGTCAAAAGATGTACTGCTACAACTATATTACTAGGGAAGGAGAAGGAATGATGGGGGAGGGGCAGGTCAGTTATTTGGCTGCTTTTTTCTTTTTAGTCCATTTGTCCCAACACTGCTAGGCTCTTATTGCAAAATGGTCTTCGATGCCTAGGTTTTAAAAAATTTAAAAAAATTGCGTGTGTCTGTCTGTGAGTATGTATGCTCAGGGAGCCCTGATTTTTGAAACAAATTGGGTTTTCTTGCAGATGAAAAAGTTGCCTGATCAGCTAGGTACAGCAGCAGCAGCCTGCACCCCCTAACCTTTTCCCAGCTCTTTATCCCAACCCCATTTTTTCTTTTCAAGGAGTGAGGGAAGAAACATGCTCTGCTCCTCACTGCCTTCAAACTTTCTTTTAATCTCTCTCTTTCTTTATCTCTTTATGTAGTGGGGGAGATGAGGTTCCATCCATCTGTATCTGCAAAATGCTGCTATGTCCCTGAAAAGACTTATATTTTTTTTCTGCCTCTTGGGTCTCTCTTTCTGTTCAGTTATCCAATAAAATATGTAAAAGAGACAATCAATTTGTTTGACTTGATAATTGCCACATGGTTATTTTAAAAACTGGTCTAGTTTTTCATTCGTTCCATTTGTTATCCTCACATATTCACTGCAAAGTTCCCTGGAATTATATTTGGCTTAACTACAAAGAACTTTTCATGTTAGACCAATCATTTTTCATTAAATGATATTTTATATTTAGAGATAGTTTTAATCCAACTTACTTTCATACCAACTTTTTGAAACTAAAACAAATCTGATATATTGTTTATATATACTTGAATAGGTATTGTGGATTTTATTAAGTAGGAAATTTATAATACTCTTTAACTGCATTAAAACCGTATGAAAACGTTAAAATATCAATTTTCAGCTTCTATCATTATTTTTTTTTTGTAAATTTCAGGTTTCCTTTTTATTTACTTGAACACATTTTGATGCAACAGTTAAGGAAATTGATTTTGTATCCCTATACTTTCCACATGGTGCTGTTCTAAACACAGATGTGGCTCTCTGTCTTTCACTGACTGGACAAATCCCACATTTGCATCAGTGTGCACAAAAAACTGGGAAATGATTGATGTACATTATCAGGAGAATGTGAAATAAGGTTATAATTAGAAGTGAAAATGTGAATTTTGTTTCAATATATTTGGTTATTTACAGATTTAGTTGGCCTGGCCTGGCAAGTGATACAAGGAACATCTTACTGCTACTTTTTATCTTATGTCCAACTAACAAAGTAGATCTTCACTTTGACCAGTGAGAGCTGACTATATCTTTAACTGTTTCTTTCCTGTTACTGACTTGATTCTCACCTACCACTCCACTGACCATCTCTACTTCTCCATCAACAGGCTTGAAACTGACAATTCTGTGAGTCTGCTTACATAATCTTGCAGCCAGAAATTTCTAATTTCTGAATAAGTGGTGCTTGATCCCAAAGGTTTTTATATGCCGTTTCTTCTCCATTTGAAGACCTTGCTTTTAGGCTTACTGCTGGTTATAAAACGACACTTCACTCTAAGATAAAATCAGTCTGCTTTACTTTGTGGGTGTTTTAAGCTGTGGCCAGCTTACGTTGTCACATTGAAGTGCTGAAAATGAATCTGAGGGGTTTCTTGAAAATAGTCAAAGGATTCCATTGATAAATAAGTTAGATATGAGTTGGGTTGACTCAGAGTTAAGGATAGGTGTTTATTTGGGAAAACATTTAGGCTTGCACTAGTGTTCAAACACCTAGAGCAAAATGGGGAGTTAAATAATGTAATTGGTCATTGAAGAGTATCATATTTCTGATGTTCTAAATCATTGATCAAAGTTGTGACATGGAAGGGGTGGGTTCTCTCCGCCCCTATGATTATATTAAACAAAAATAAATATTGTTGATCTGTAATCTAATGTTTTCCAGGATTATTTTTCTTGCTGACTGTGTGTTGTGTGTTTTTTTTTTTTTTTTTTCCGTTTATTTTCAACTTAATGCATTGAAAGCAAAACTTGACCTAGGTCAAGGAGAAAATTCCTAACAAATGTGGAAAAAATCTATTTGGTATAATGATAGCAATATTTTTTTTTAAATTGTTTTGGCATCTTATTGTGCTTGTATGTGTACATTGTTAATATAGACAGGATTCTCCTGCCACCACCAGCTTAGGTTCAGAAGGAATACTCTTGATATTTATATCATTAATCAACATTGATACCTGTTCCCAGATGGAAATGTGAACCAGTGAAGACAGCTGTTCTTGAAACATTGTTCATTTTTAGCATGATTAATTTCTGTCTGAAATTGAGCAGCTGCTTTTAATTTGCAACTGAAGTACAGTACAGTGATCAGGAAAAGTACAAATTTAACTCTTTCAAACAGAAGATCAACCAACTGAAATGAAGTAATCTAATATGATGTGGACAATGAGCAGTTTATACACAGGCTCATTTTATTTGTAGAGTATGAATCATTGCTGAAGGGTCTTCAAGCCTTATTGGAAATAGTGTAATCTGTTAGACTTAATATAAAACTTGGACTATAAACCTCAAAATAAACTCTACCTTTGATATAATCTAGATAAAAATTTGTACTTTTTTTGTCTTCAGCTAAAAGCTATTTGCTGAATAAAACTTAAATACGGGTGGGGTGCCAGTTTTTACATTTTCATAAATGTGTTACCATATTGGCATGCTTTAATAATTGGATTATTAAGTATAAATTGTGGACTCGAGTTACACTTTACTCTTAAGTTTTTTATTAACTTAAAAAAAAAAATTGTTACTTGGAGTTGGTAAATAGTAACCTGATGAATAAAGGGTAGTAATATTCGGCTGTTTGCATGAATTTGAAATAGATGGTGCTGCAGAAATACCACTCACATAAGATATTTGTGTAGTAACCTCCTAATTTTTTATATCTAAGGTTAAATTTAATATTTCCAATTAGCAAAATACATGGCTCTATTTCAAAACTAATTTTAAGACTGGAAAAGGTTGTTGGGATTCTTTTAAAAAAAAATATTGAAATTTCTGTTTTTAGCCTGCATTTACAATTTAATTCTTTTTCTTTAAAAAAAAATAAATAAATAAAAAAAATTCAAAAATAAATACTTTATTTGAGGTATATTACCTGATTTTACAGTATAATTAGTCTGATTTGAAACAACTTATTTCATTTAAAATTTCACGGAAATGAACTTTGAACTATGTAAGGTCCTGGCAGGTTTGACAGATTGATGTTTATCTAATGTTTGATGGAGGTGTTAAAGAATTTAACTTGAGTGACTTTTATATATTATTTTTAAGTACTCAGTAATTTTATATGGCACTGGGCTGTTGGCCCATGGCTAACTTCCAATTGCGGCACGAAACTGATATTTCTCCTGGTGTTTTGGGATTGACTCTTAGTTGCTGCCATCAGTGGTTGTCGCTACCCGGTGGAATCCCTTGGTCAGAGTACCAAGTGGGATGGTCAGTCAATACTAACAGCTCCACACAAGCTGCAATTGGTTCGACACCAGCTCCGTCATTCCCAGCTCGCTTCCAATGTCTGGTTACTGAAGTAACTACAATCTCAAGTCTAACCTACCCACTTTGTGATTTTGATCCTATGTAGACGAGATCAATCAGATCGTAGTGTAAGAGGAGTCTAACTGGATGTGATATCACACAAGCATAAAGAAAAGAAGCAAATAAAACCCCAAGAGGTTCAAGTATGTTGAAAGTAACAAATTAGCTTTTATCCATCTGTTATATACAGGAGTGTGTTTTTCTCCCAACCTGTTTTCTACAGTGTGACACTTTTACACTTAGGCAAGTTCTGGTCTTCTAAGTCAGCTAGTTTAATGCTGGCTTGGCTTCGTTCATCAGTATAACTTGCTATTGGTAGGATCGGCAAAGTCAGCGGTTGTAAAATCTCTGTCAGCTTCTGCAAGGCAACACTGGTTCCTGCTACTTGAAAGGCTCTAACTTCAACTGGCTGCAACTCTGAGGGCATTCGTTCATATAGACACTGACCAAAAACCGGTGCAGTGTTAGACATAGTCTGGAGTTTTCAGTAAATCCCGATTCCTGACAAGAAACCTCTTTGTTGTCTGGCCAGGAAAATTAATTACTTCCCATTTTGGAAAATTAATCACTTCTGTCCGTGAGAGTTTCCCCTTTCTCACATACCTCATACCAAATCCTTTCAGTGGGTGTTAATAATTTCCCTGTCTTTCTCATCAAATTACCTCTGCCTATCTCCATTGCTACCACTTGACCAGTGTGGCTAAGCTGGCCTCATTAAAATTATAACCTAGAATTTTGGGTTTACAGAATTCTCTTTACAAAGCAAAAATCTTACAAATCACACATGGCCACTTAAAATCTCTCAGATCTTTTGGTCACTCTGTTTTTTTAACCAGCACTTTTTACGAACTCCAATTGTCAAAGTCTGCCATCTGGTCCCTTCATGAAGTTAGCGTCTACGGGAACCCTTGGCTTCTCAAAAAAAATAAATAAATTGATAATAAATTTCT